AATATTTCAGACCCCAAATTAATGCCTGGATGAAAAAAACGTACCTTAAAATGTGTGTGAATTATTAACATTTGCATTGCGGTGTGGGTGAAGTGAACGTGAGGCTGTGGTTTATTTTAGCGGGCTTTGGATCAGGTCTTACGTGCCTGAATTAATACCGAGAAACTGTGCCTGTGCCAGGACTCTCTCAGCTGAGCTGCAGAAGGGAGACTGACACATTCGAGGCTGCGGGGAAGTGAACCACAGGCCTGTAGTCAGTTTAATCCTAGTTAGTCTCACCTACTTGCCTTACTTGCCTTACGTGCATTCATTTGCCTTTGGAGACAGGCTAGTGCTGAAATGTAAGCAGGGAGATGTCAAGTATCCAGGATTTGCGGGGGGGGAGGCCTGGAGCTCAGGGTACGGTCAGAGGCAGCACCATTGTCCTCAGAGGATTGCTGTGGATCGGGACAGTCCTTGGGAGTCGCCTTAAAGACACGTATGTCCTGGCTGGCAAAATCCCTGAGACCTGCGGTGGCATAGGCAATAGCCAGCTTATTGGCCCAGTTACAGTACTCGGTAAGAGAAACACAATTTATGAAGAGCATTTAATGGCCTTTCTTACGGGCAAACGCCTTCCCAACAGCTGTAGATGAAGAAGGGATACCAGGTACCACGTGCAGGTACTCCCCTTTCCCTGCCAGCCAGTGGTCACAGGTACTAGTTGGGACAGTCTCCTCCGTGAACCGCCAGCCCCTCCTGATTTATGTCCTTAGGCAACACATCGTCCCAATACCTCCAACTCCTTCCCCACCTCCTGCCCTCTCTTGCTCTAGAACTTCAGTTTCTCAAAGTCCCCTAATTCAAAGCCCTTTGAACTCATTTTCCCTTACCAGTCTGCCTTGTATGTTCTTCCTTGCTCCCAGGTCACTCTGCCAGATAGGGTTCTTCTCCAGATCCAACCTCCCCAGATCCAACCTCTGCCTGTGCCTTCTCTTGAATTCTGTGCTGCTATGGCCCCTGGCCCCTCGGTGCCCCTTCCACCAGGTTCCCCACCTCGCACACACCAGCGTCGGCTGCTCCAGACCTCTCAGCTTGGACCTTCAGAGGCTGCTGCCACTGGCTGGGCTCTGCTGCTCCTCAGCTTTCTGTCACCCTGCCCCTTTTAGCACTTGAAGCAGCTTAGAATCATAGAATCATAGAATGCTTTGGGTTGGAAGGGACCTTTAGAGGTCATCTAGAGGGGGTTATCAGCATCCAACCTGGCTTTGAATGTTTCCAGGGATGGGGCCTCCACTACCTCTCTGGGCAACCCATTCCAGTGTTTCACCATCCTCACTGTAAAGAATTTCTTCCACGTATCCAGTCTAAACCTACCCTTTTTTAGTTTAAAACCATTACCCCTTGTCCTGTCACAGCTGGTCCTATTTAAAAAGATTCAAGTATCTGCATGCCCAAACTCTTCTTCCAAGAAGGGGAATTTTTCACTGGATTTCAAACTGCCATGTTCTAGTGGTAAAGTTAAAAAAAATAATCTTACTAAGCCACTCAAATAGAGGGCAAAGTGCCTGCGAAAATGAGAACTTCCTCCTGAAATGCTGTACTTCAGCAAAAATGCTGCTTTCCAGCATCTGCAACAGTCTGTGCAGTTCATGTACAAATCCTGTGGGTCCCGAAAAGAATAGAGCTGTCTCCCTGTGCTGTTCTTGCCCATGCTTTGGCAGTGCAATCCAGGACTGTCCTGTCAGGGAAAACGTAGGTCACCAGTGGTGCAGAGCCTCCTAGATAGGGAAGCTCCTCTCAAACAAAGTCCTCCTGATACAATTTATACTTAGTGTGTACCTTTTACAAGTGGAGTGCTGTCAGCTCATGGTGAGCATCACACATACCTGTTTTGGCTGCCTGTGTGTCCTGTCTGAGACTTTTCTGTTCACTCTGCCTGACGTGCATCTCCTTCACATGGAAAAAGGAGTTAGAAAGGAGAAGGTCTTTGAAGGCACGTTGTGGCCTGGGGTCACTGTAGTTTTTTTCCTTATAGCAGAAGAATACGGAGGTTCTGAGTCTGTAACTGCTGAGCAGTAAATAGAACAGAGCTGCGATGGTGTAATTGTTTGGATTTGTACTTGAAGAGAAAGTACAGCAAGCCTTGGGGGCAAGGGGAGTGAGGAGAGCAAACGTAGAACACAAAATCAATCATATTTGCTGCCTTCCTGAAATTTTCTTTAAAGACCGTCATGCCTAGTACTTAGTAGTCAACACTTCTTGCTGGATTCTTGGAAAGCAGACAATAAACTTTGAGCAAATATTATCAGCTGCCAAGTTCAATGGAAACAGACAGTTTGCACTGAAGCTGGAAGTAAATAGAAGTTAATGCCACAGTTGGTTCTTCCCATCTTCCCTGACTGCTGCCGCCTTTCAGAAGAAAAAAAAAAAAACAGTGGAAAAGGTAACCAGTCACAGCTTAGGTGAGACAGCAGCAAGCTGTGTTTCTACTCCTCAGCTTCCTAAGGAAAAGGAGACTCGGATGGGGAGAACACAGCCTCTCATGCAGAGACCTCCTGTCGTCATGGACACCTGATATAGAATCAAACAAACAAAAAAAAAGGACCCTCTTGACTTTCTGCAGTCTGAAAATCAATAAGAAGAGTTGATTGGAATTTCCTAGGGAAAAAATTCAGATTTGACCACCCTGAAGCATTCTATAAACATTTCCATTTTACCACCTCAGTCTAAAACAAACAAAAAAAGAAGTGGGGAAGGAAAAGCAAGTTGCAAAAAGCATCTAGCTTTGACATTTTCTTTAGTTTTATTTTTAAAAGTATTCAGGATCAAGGGAATTTTGTTAAGGTTTTTCAGAACTTCCAACAATATGGAAAATCAGTTGTTCACACAGTTTTGCCAATAAGATTCATGACATGGGAGGGTTTGTGACTCATTTACCTATATAAGCTTCACTAGTAAAATTCCTTGGATTCATGTGCCTTACAATGATTCAGATACTCACTGTGTGCCTAGTAAGGGTATCGTTAGCATTCAAATCTCAGTAAATTTAAGGATTTGTGTTCAAATGATCTATTTGTGTAGATATTGTTGCTATAGAAGTACTGTTCGTGATCTCCCATAGGCAACACATTATTAAAGCCTGTTTCAAGCTGTAAGGAACAACAGTGTTGTGTACGAATACAGCAACCTTGGCAGGACTCTGTGTGGGAAAGCTACTGAGCATCTTTCTGGGGAACTGTTCCAGTTTCCTGTCAACAT